ATATATATATGTATATATATATATATATATATATATATATATATATATATATATATATATATATATATATATATATATATGTGCTGGACATAACAAGAACACAACATATTCTTTTGAATCTAGTATTGTCAAAAGTACAATCCCTCAGTTCCAATTAGTACTGTGATTTTAATTGTGGATGTTTTAATATAACATCACAGACGCCACCACTAAAACCTCCTCTTGTGTGTGTTCGTGCAGGAGGAGGATCCGGGTGCTCTGCCCCTGTCTCTCACTGTTTCAGACTACCTCACTCCATCATGGTCACTGTCGCCCTCCTCCAGCCCGCTGTCCCACTCCGAGGCCAGTGACTCCGACAGAGAGGAGGATGAAGAAGAGGAAGACGATGATGAAGATGATGACGATGAAGAGGAGCTGGAGGAGCTGAGGGGTCGAATGATGAGACGCCGCAAGAAGAGAAAAACCTCCACCAGCATCAAGAAGAAGACTCAGCCACACCCCCTTTCCTTCACTCGCCCCGCCTCCTCATCCCCCTCCCCCTTCCAGCAGCCTCAAGCCCCGCCCACCACCAATATAAACAACAACATCAACATAAACATCGGTGCGAGCGGCACACTGTCCCGCCGCCAGCACTGTCCATACTGCGGACGCCACTTCCGCTCACTCGCGCGCCACCTAGAGAAACACCACGATCAGCAGCCCGAAGTCAGAGCCGCAATGGAGCTATCGCACGCTCCCACACACACCCCGAACACAAACACACACACGTTTCCATCTCCAGCCCAGCCCTCGTCTTCTCTGGGGCCGTCGTTGTTTTCCAGGGAGCGCGAGTCTATTTCGTCTGCTACTAAACCGGCGGGTGTTTCCTTTTCTCTTTCGCTGGCTTCTCCTCCATCTAGCGCCACCACCAAGAAAAGCTGTAGTACTCCTAGGAAGAGTGTTAAGAAGAGTCCCGGGACGCCGCCGGCACGGAGAGGACGACCACCTAAGAAGAAGGAGGACAAGGAGAAGGAGAAAGAGAAGAAGAAGCAGGAGGAGATGGAGAGAGAGAAGGAGAAAGAGGAGCCGCCGCCACCCACACCGGGGAAAGTAGAAGAAGAAGAGGAAGAAGAGGTGGAGGAGGAGGAGGAGGTGGTCAACATGGTGGAGGATGAAGGAGCTGAAGAGAAGAAGACAGAAATGACGAGGTGAGAGCTGGAGGAATGAGTGAATAATACTGGAGTTTCTGTCTTGGTTTGATCTGCATTTCTGCCAGAGCTGTTGTCTGACAGGTTTGTGACAGGTTTTAATTCATCATGTAAGTCCTTCTAGAAAGCACCTCGTTTGTAATAGTGTTATTGTTCAGCATGATAATCATCCCAAACGCACGGCTAATGTTATGAAATCATATTTGTGAGAAAAACAGCTGATGAAACAAAGACAGTCATGAAATGGCCTCCACAGAGTCCAGACCTGAGTATTATATACTGCATGTGTAGGCAATATTATAGGCAGTAAGAGATTCCAGTGCTTCCCACAGGTTTGAAATGTACTTGTGGTGGAAGCTGGATTGAAACACAGGTTTTTCCACATCACATTAATATTTAACTGTATGAGACGAAACACAATTTGATTTAAAACAATATTTGATTAGCCATGTGCACCCATAAAATCTGCTTCTTTATCTCTCATTCAAGTTCAGGTTGCTTTATTGGCCTCTCTAAAATTATAAAAGGCTAAATTACTGTAGACGTGTAGATTATTTAAATAAGGCTTCAGCGCATGCGGGTCAGTTTAGGACCGTGATCTGTTCACACTGCAAATCTGATATTGGCTTCATTTATAACAACAGTGTGAACATCCATGGACAAACATCAGATCTGAGAAAAAACTAAGCCTCGCAGTGTGAACACAGCCGTAGAAACCCCGGCCGGACGAATTTTTAAGTCCCAAACAAGGCACGTCTCTCTGTCTACAAAGAAGTTCAAGCTGATGCTCTGTGCTAAGGAGGTCACGTTAAACAGGCGTTTGATGCTAGTCCTTCAATTACTAAAAAGTTATTTAATAAAAGCTATTTCACCCAAAAGTAATGACCCAGCACATGCTCCATACCTTTATTGTGCTTTCACACCTGTGAATCGATTCATTTGTTCTGAAACAGGGATTGAATTTGTTACATTGCTGCTCTTGGAGCGGTTCGCTTTCACACAGCAAAGTTTCTAAACGGACCAAAAGAGCTAAAACAAGTCACGTGCGAGTAATCTCTCCTCACATTGGTCAGAGTGTCATTGTTTATTTTGCAGAGTCTCGCACAGCTGTCGGGGGGGTGGTGGTTTGGTCGTGTTTGATGCGGTGCACTTGACGTGTCTGAAGAGCGAGGAGGGATGCGGTGGGGAGGGGTGAGAACAACGTATTTGAGGACCGGGAGGGAGAGACACGACTCCCGAAACTTCCGGGAGACTTGTGATGTCTGTTGAATGACCTCCCGGCTCACGCTCTACTCATAATTCTCTCTTCATATAGCCGTTCTCTCTTCATATATGCCTATTACATATCCATAAAACACTGTGATATAACCAGGCTTGGATCATATCGCTTTCTCACTATAGCCGATCCGCACCAGAGTTTGTTTCAATCAAGCCGAGACACCTCATTCAAGCGATCTCGGAGCGATTGTTTTGGTGCGGATCCGAGTGCAATTGGTGGTTTCACATATGCCAAACGAACCACGTTAACTGGGCAAACGAGACCGGTTCCCAAACAAAAGTGTAGGTGTGAAAGCACCCTTAGATAAATGTAATGACCCAGCATGTGCTCCATAGCTTTTAGATAGATAGATTTGTACAATAGTCTGTGCCTCCCAAATAGGCATGAGAAGATGACCAGTTTCAAGGATTACCATAGTTTGGAAAAGTCAATGTTTTAAAATAGCAAAAATGTTCTCTTATACCGTTCCTACACTATTTGTAAGTTGTTGGGGTTTTTAACGTCCTTTGGCTATTTTATACAGTTCTTTCAAGCATCAGTATCTCTAGCAAAAAATGACCCTCCACATCTAAAGCTCCTGGTCAGGCCACGATTCAGCAAACATCTGAAAAACAAACCTCTGAGACACCAGCATCCAGCCTGCTGCAGAGCTGAAAGGTGTTGTTGTTTCACCCAGACATCATACTGTCAGAATCTTACACCGGCCCATACCTACTCCCGCAGCTGGTGGTGGTCTAAGGCCCCGTTTACACTAGTGCGTTTTAGTATTAAAACGGCATTTTAGATCAAAAATGATCCACGTAGACACCAGCGTTTCACCTAGCATTTCTGAACATATCTCCATCCACACTACGCCACCAAAAACGTATATCACATGACCATTCGTGCACTCTGGGCATGCACGTTCTAGTATTAACAGGAAGTATGTGTCTCGCTCGGCATTTGGTTATTGTTACAGACAACGTGGTCGAGTTGTTACTAAACAAAACAAATGAATAACTGCACAATGGCGCCTAAAGCAGACAATAGTGTCCATGTTGTTGTTTACAGTGAAGGCTGGTCGGCTGTTTTCCGGTAGCGTTAAAGCCATGTGTTATAGTCATGTGATAGGGGCTTGACGAATAAGGGAAGGATACGCAATGACACAAAAGCCCCATTCAGGTATTGAATCTCAGCAGCCCCGCCTCCGTTTCCAGATGTCTGCGTTTTCCCTCATCCACACTGAGTCGAGCAGCAGCGCTTCAGAATGAAAACAGCCTCTCCAGCGTTTCCAAAACGCTCCGTTTTCAGAGTAGTGTGGACGGATGGCGTAACCGTAGCAAAACTTGTGCGTTTACAAACTAAAGCGCATTCGTGTAAAAGTCGTGCACAGTACTGTAAGTGTGACAGAGCTGTGTTGTGTGTTTTGCAGGCCTCAGCGCTCCCACATGCCCCCTCTGCTGTCGTCTCTGTCCACGCTAGTGTTGTTCCTGCGCCGGCAGCAGCACTCCTCCTTCCTCTCGCTGTCCCGCGCGCCGGGCTCTGCTGAATCCTGGCGTCAGCTGTGCCACTCCAGCCTGGCTCTGCTGCTCCTCTATAACCGGCACCGGGAGTGTGAGGTGTCCAAGCTGACGGTGCAGGACTACCACAGCCGGAGCTCCGCAGCCCCGCTGGACAGTGCACTCTGCCCGTTCGAGCGCCAGGTGCTCTGCCATCTGTCCCGCGTGCCGGTGCTGGGCAAACGAGGCCGTGTGCAGCCGCTCATCCTGCCACCGCACTCTGAAACCTGCCTGGACCTGCTCCTCAAGACGTCTGCAGATGTGGGTGTGGACCCCGAGAGCCCGTATGTGTTCTCCAGACCGTACCACTCTCCGGCTACACCTCTGCGCGGGACAGACCTGCTGCGGAGCCTGGCACGGAGCAGCGGAGCCAAGAACCCAGCATGTCTGACTGCCCCGCGCGCCCGCCGGCAGATCGCCATCCTCACCCAGCTGCTGCTGCTGGAGGAGGGCGCCGCCACCAAACGCCTGGAGGACTTCCTGCAGAGAGAGTACCATGTGACCCAGAGCTGCGCTGGGATTGGCCAGGACCCGGCGCTGATGAACCGTGTGGGCAGGGTGGTGCTGTATGGCGAGCGGGAAGGCGTTCTGTTCAGAGGCATGAGTCTGCAGCACATCTGCCTCGAGCTCGACGGTAAGACACCGCTGTATGTGTGGGAACACTTGAGAATGTCAGTCTGTTATTCATTTATTTATGAAGCACTTATTTAACTTATTCATGAAGCGTTTATTATGCTGTTGGGTCGTTTTAATCAACTCTGGGCTGATTTTGAGGTTTAATTTGGCCACATCTTTCTCTGTGTTTCAGCAAATGGAATTATTTTGCTGACAAATCTGATTTTGACTCATATTTTGGGGAAAAACTTTGACAACTTTTATGAGCTCATCCACACTCAGTTCAGATTGACTACCCTTTGGTTATGTTAGTGGCTGTTTTTACCCCATTGACTTCCATTATAATCACATTTATTCACAGCAAAGCCATGACCGCAGATAATCATGCATCATTGATTGTTGCTAGTTTTCCAGAAATAAGTCAATCTGCTAAAATAATAATAATAATAATGATCAATACAGGATTATAGCACACTGTCACTTTAAGAGCTGCACGGGTCTGATGTACATGCATTTTCAATCTTGGCTTTTTATTATGGTGCATTTATTACATAACAGACCAGGGTTTATGGGAATAATCAGTGTTTTTGCCGTACTCTTGCATGTGTTTGAGCCTTCAGGCACAGTTTAAGCTCAAAGATGACTTTACATGTGTGTGTTCTGCTCGTCTCTGAGGATGACCGCACTCACACAACAGCTCTAGTTTCACAAATAAATCAAATACGCTTCAATAAATCAAGCACATGTCGTGCTGCAAAAGTCACAATATATGACTACTGATTTCAACATGAACTTGAGCTCTGTGGAGGAATCAATAATGGAAACATGCGAGATATTGAGTATTGTGATGTGTTTTTTACACTAACATTTCTTTTGAAAAATGCTATTTTAATTAGCTGTTTTTTTATTTATTTATTTATTGATATCAAAATAAACAGGTAAACTATATTTTTTAAATCTATTTTATTCTAGTTCAGACTACAAAACTGGGTTGATGGCTAAGCATTTAGGGCCCTATCATACACCCAGCGCGATTAGGCGCAAGACCTGTTTGCCTTGATGTGTTGTTATTTTTAGAGCAGTTCAAGCTTCATTTTCCTGTTTTGCTCCACGTTATTGAAATAGCAAATCCATTTGCATCACTTTGTGGACTCATCGGACTTGTGGACTTTCGGTCTAGAAAAGAGGTGTGTTAAGGCGCATTGTTGGCGCCTCGCTATTTTGAGGAACTAAAATAGACTGCAGTTGAGCAGCTGACAGCAGGTCTATTGTCCAGCGCAGAGCGTGTTAGTTGAGCGCCTCACTTAAACACTGCTTAAAACAAGCAGGATGTAGAACAAGACAGAATTATCTTTGCAGATGAAAAAGAATTAAAAGAATAAAGTATTTTTTAAAATGATAGCTTTCTACATCAATATTAACAGCACTGCCTCCATGCCTTCTTCACCTCGGGGGCTTCTTCAGTTTATGGATGACGATCTGCATCTGTATAGTGTGATTATTAATAGCAGTATTAGGGATGCTCATTTCGGTTAATTTTGCTAACCGACAACCGCCACTCATTAGTCGGTTATTAACAGTTAACTGGTCAGATTACTATTAATTTATATTAAACAAATTGACGTGTCTATTTTGTGTCCTACACATTAAATGTTGCATAAAATACTGATTTATTTTTAAATGCTAGCATATTAATAACAGAACAATACAACAGAGCATCTTCACGCACCTGCAGTGTTTAGCACAGAAGAACAGAATAAACTAAATAAAATGAATGAAATAAATAGGACTGCCCTAAATTATTTCCACTTAAATAATTAATTTATATTACAAATCGAAAACACTGACTGATTATTTTTAATAACCGGCATAGGCTGCTTTTTTACAATCATATTTTTGTCTTCCGTCAAATAAAACAGCTGAATTCCTCAAATCGCTAGCTCCACGGAAATTATGCAATTATTTAATGCCCCGCTGTTGTTTGCTTCACCTGTATATTGTGCATGCGATTATCCTAAGATTGATCATTTAGCCAGATATATCGTGCAGCCCTAAACTGAAGTCAGCCTGCTGCTGTTTGTGTTGTTCAGTGATGTCTGGAAACTCGGCCGACTCGTTCTCGGAAAACTCTGATGCGGAGGCCAGTAAGGTTAAGGAGAAAGCTGAACCGGTGAAGAAGAAATCCAGAGGTCGAGTTTCACGGGTGAAGAAGGGAACCGGTGTGCGAGTGTGTGCTGCTGCAGCGCCACCATCAACCGCACACAAGAGACGCAGCGTCGCACAGGTCAAAACAGGTCAGTCACACACTCACGATACACACATGCTTTTCTGTCCTGTGTCTGTGTCCAATACTTACATCGCAGGATATGCAGTGATCAGTGTAGCTGATCAGTTGAGAATATACAGTTGCAGTCAGAATTATTCGCCCCCCTGTTTATTTTTTTCCCTAATTTCTGTTTAACGGAGAGCCGATTTCTCCAACACATTTCTAATCATAATAGTGTTAATTACTCATCTCTAATCACTGATTTATTTTCTCCTTGTCATGTTGATAGTAAATAATATTAGACTAGATATTCTTCAAGACACTTCTATACAGCTTAAAGTGACATTTAAAGGCTTCACTAGGGTAATTAGGGTAACTAGGCAGGTTAGGGTGATTAGGCAAGTTATTGTATAATGATGGTTTGTTCTGTAGACTATCGAGAAAAAAAATATAGCTTAAAGGGGCTAAAAACTTTGTCCCTAAAATGGTGTTTAAAAAATTAAAAACTGCTTTTATTCTCGCCGAAATAAAACAAAAAAGACTTTCTCCAGAAGAACAAACATTATCAGACGTAATGTGAACATTTCCTGAATCTGTCTGTTAAGCATCATTTGGGAAATATAAAAAAAAGCAAAAAAAATGAGAAGGAGCGAATAATTCTGACTTCAACTGTGTATGATGTTTGTGGAGTCATTGCAAAGCATAATCATATATCATAGTTTGCATGTGTTTTACTGGCATTTCAAGAGAGTTTAAAGCATTCAGGCACATAAATGTACAACATAAAATAATTTTACTGAATCACTAGTATGAAGACAGCTTTATTTTACATTTAATTATTCTATTTCTGCACCTGAATACTGTTTGATTATCTGGAAACCATTTATTTGACTCTTTTGGTTTCTCTATTGTAAGTATTCCTGCTTGCAATGTTGTTATTGTTTTTTATACAAAAAATCTTACAAAAATACTTACAAAATCACATTAATACATCTAAATTCAAGATTTTTTTTCCAAATAAAGCCATTTAAACCATCTGCTGACATTGTATTCATATTCACAGTATTTGTTACAGAAAAACAAAACATTGCCAACGTCTGATTTGTTCAATAATCTGCCAGTGGTGTGAGTCACAATTTTATATCAAAAGGAAAAACAAGATTATTCTGCTTCCCCCATCGGCAGATTCATTTGCTTGATTTATGTAAAAACTCTCTTCATTTTGACTCATTATTTCTGAGAACAACACTATGTTAGGTGCTTGTCTGGAAAATGCTGCTTGATTTAAGAGTTTGTAGATATTTGGACTTGAAACAAGACAAAACCTCTCAGTCCGAGCAGCAGGTTTTGCAGAGAAGTACTGCAGATGAGAATCGTGTCCTTCACTTGATCGGACAGTTTGTACAGAATCCTCCCTAAATTTAGATAGACTTTCATTTTGTTGCAAATTGAAACCATTGGTGTGCTTGAAGAAAAATAAGCCTGACTCAAGCAGATTCCTTTAAACGCTCTACTACACTGCTGCACTGATGAGGCACGTATTTATTAATGGAAAATAAATAAATGAGGGTGACAGAATAAATTAATACATAAATAAGAATCAGATTATTTGATATATTGTGTGTTTTCAGCAGTATCGTGTGGAAGGAGGGCTTTTCAGAATTGCTAGGTGTGCAGCATTGTGATGTCTATCAGCCATCAGCTGGCATGTGGCATCATCTATTGACCCAACCCTAACGTGCAGGTCGCATGTTTACGGACTCTGTAACCACAGATACAGGGACACTGGAGTGTTTCAATGTCATGTTGATCAGCTGGTTCGTCTATAGACCTTTTTAGAATGCAAAATTACCCATTATGCTGTGCGTGTCTGCGCAAGGAGAATGCGAAGACCTTCCTTTCGGAAGTCACATTCGGACAGCTTTGAAACAATAGTTTTAATCTATTTTACCTGCTTTTAATGTCTTTAAACTAACACTGCTGTCGATCAGCGCCACCTGCTGGACTGATCATTTAAACAATGTGATCTAATGGAATGGAAAACAGCTGCTGTGAGGCATTTTCCCCTCGTTGTCAAACCGGATCTTCTGCAGTTTAAATAAAGCCTCGTCATCGCT